GCTTTATATTTACTTTCATAATTTGAATATGGAGAGGGATAGAGGAGGTTTGTGAAGTAGGGAGATATCGGGTTTATGTCAGCAAATATTCCTATAGTGTTACAGTGGTATTGAATTTTACTATTAATTTTATATTTTCATCGCAACACCGACATATTTATTTTCATAAATTTTAACTTGAAAACAGATACATGTGAATGTAAATATTTATTGAGAGATCTTTTTAACTCTTTTTTGGAAGTACTTCACCTCCCTAAATTTTGCTGGTGTCTATAGGCTTCTATAGCTTCCAACCGAATATTGCAAAAGTTTTTTTCTTTCAGATAATATGTCTCCTTGACTGTGTGACAAGTGATAAATCTTACATTATCTAAATAAAAAAAATATTTTGTTTTATTAAGCTTTACGTTGCGAATTTGTGTACAGTATTTAATAAATAGATGATTCATTTAAGATTGTTGATAATGTTTTAAGATAAGCCAAGCACGGAAACGTGGAAAACATGAGGGAAGAAGATACCCAGAGAAGGCGCTACCATGCAGTTGTCACATGCATATAACTGGAAATCTAAATTTAAATGAACTAAAAATATATATTTTTTTATAATTTGCTAGGTAACTGCTATCTGCTTAAATCTTAGATATTTTTTTAAACAGTAGATTACTTACAGCTGCACTTTACTCTCTACCCACTTCTGGGAACATTATTTTCACATCTTACGAAACCTTATTGTTTGACGAAAACAGATATGAAATCCATACGTGTGTTTCACTCCTTTCCGATAAAAAATATGACAATTCAGCATACGAATCAAAACAGGAAGTATCTATCAACAGAAAGAGACAAAGACGCATTTTGCGCCTCCATCGTTTAACATTTATGTTGACGTTTCTACCAGGGGATTTTTTTGGCACTATACTAATTAGGATTATATAAATTATTTAGATGCAGCAACGGTCGATGACAATTCAAAAATCATATACTGTGCTGACGACACATTTGTCTTAGCATATTGATTATCTGTATACAAAGCTACAGGAATGAATGTAGTTTCTAGATATTTATCAAATCATGTTTTGCGAGTTTTGAATACATCACGAAATATAGAATAATGTTGTAGGAAGCAAATTCCGATATTCAAAGAGTTCATTGTTCAAAGGGCACATAAAAACAATTACATACATTAACTGTTGTTCGATTTTTCTTTTTGTGTAAAGACAAATTTGATGGTACATATTATGTACATGGTTACAGTACCAGGGATCTAATTTTTTTATAGCGAAAAGCTCTCTATGTATTACACAAAATAGTGTTGCCTTAGAATTATTATTGTTATTGTTATAGTTAAACAACAAGAAAGATTAACACATAAGGTGCAGAATCCAGATAGCTAAACGACACTCCTATAAATTAAAAAATGTTGGACCATGACCACCATAAAAAACGCCGGAGCTCTGTTTCGATGAAAACGTCAAAACATGCATCTGGAATGCACACGAGAGTGAAGATTCTGTCTATTTCTCAGACCGATTTCAAAGAACTTAAATTACATCTAAACTCTTTCCTGCATTCTACCAATCGTGTACGACTGGAACGTATGATTATTAGATTTTTGCCGCATGTGCAAGTTTATGAGCGCGACTTAATTCAAAAGGGAATATTTCGGGATATAGCAAAGGCGACGGTAAAATATACCGACACATGTAGATAGATAAATGCGTCTAAGCTGATTGAAATCGTGAGCTCGATCCGAATAAGAAATTCTTTTATCGGATTTGAGTCAGTATATCGGTTGAGCAAAATATAGAACAATTTGCGACAGTGCTGTTATTATCAGAAAATTCCAGATCCATACAATCTCTGTTTGATTTTTAGCATCAAAACAAATTCCCACTGTTAACTAAAAATTGTAGATCATGCTCGAACATTGTTTATGTAAAAAATGGAAAGAAAAATTCGCATTCAAATATTTCTGGCAGAGGTAGATAAAAACCAGTAAAAACATTTTAGGCTTGATTTTTCAGACAAATCCAAATATAAAAACATCGTGTCGTAAAATTATGAATTGCTTTCAAAATAAGTTGCTACCTGAGTCTTCAAAGGACGCAAATTGAATTGAATATAAGTCAAAATCGTAGGACAATATCCAGCAGCTCACGCTTGCAAAATATTGAAAGAATGAAAAATGAAAAAGTCAATTGTTTTGGAGACGAACTGTAACACGGAGGCGCGTAATCAGAGTTCGAATAGAAAGGTTCTTCTCCTCGGTAGTTATTTGTTAACGATACGCCCGGTGGTCCCATTGTCGAAGAAGAAATCGGCAATAAATCTGCGGTTTCGATATCATCATGCGAAGGAGCAACGATATACGCGGATCCGCCCATTTAAATTTAAAGAGAAAGATATAATTTCGGCTCTTCCCACCAAACTTGCCGGGCTGTAAATACTTCGGAGTATTTCAAACATTATTAATTCGTTGAACCGGTCAAATAATGTATATTTTTTGCATAATTATTTAATTTCACCAGAAAATGCTAATAACCATTTCGGTTGGCGTTAAAATTTCTCCGATTACGAAATTTACAACTTGTTACGTTATAACAATATTTAATATTAATAAATAAGTTTTTAATAATAGCTTTAATAATAAATCGTGGTATTTTTTTTTCAATATAATTAAAACATCGAGAGACCGACTTAAAACTGAGTATAGTGGAAACACTTTTTTAGAAAATCTTTAAATTTGAGACCTTTAGATAAGGGCAACTGATCAGCGATCTGAGTTATAAAGAACACAAGATACTCATTAATTTGAACATCATTTAGAATATCATTTCTTGTTTTATTAATTCCAAACTATTAAGGTCCAATATGTTCTAGAACAACTAGAACTATAATTATGTTCATTCTTGTCATATTTCTGATATAGTTCGGACAAAAATTGCAATTTACTGCTCATGTTTATACTTTCCAAAGAAAACCAGTTACCTACTTTTTTATTACTCGAATTTAATTGATCTATTTGGAAAGCAAACTTTGACACGATGTATAAAAATGTTCAAGAAACATTCAAACTTTACAACAAATTTTCAGAGATAAAACTCCAATTCGTGGTTAAAATTGCTAAGCATTTTATCTAAAAAAAATACAATAAAAATGTTAAAAAAACGATTTGGCACCTTTTTTAGAGGACTCTTCAACTAACAATGATTGAATGTCAACAATGCATAACCATTGTTACCGTTTGTCTCGGGTAGATTAGTAATTTCTTGGTATTTGGGTAGCAGAAATCTTTAACATCTATTTTTGATAGGTTTATTTATTACCAACATGCGCAGTCAGTGGATTTTGATTTTGACCGAGTTCAGCTATTCGCACATAGATGGTACCACCTTATTCCACCTGATATGTAGATTTCTGCCTAGGACTAAGAGATTGCAAGATTGTACATTTACGATGTGTCTACTAGAAGGTGCATCACCGCTTGACTTGTTTACTTTGGAATGTCTTTTCTGTTCCATAAGAAAGAAAAGTAATTTTCAGTGATATCTCTAGATGTTTTGGAAAAAAAATTAAAAAACATGTATCAAAAAGCTTTTTACACAAAACAAAAGTTTCAGAACAATAAAAAACATCCTCGCGATTGTAAACTTTGGACAAACCCCTCGTAGCTCCATAACTGTATTTATTAGGTGTCAAGATAAAGTTCAAGATATGTCTTCGTACCGAAGATTTCTAAAAAATAATAATTTGTTCCACCCTGTTGTTTGCAATAATTGCTTAAAATCTAAACGTCCTAAAAGGTTTTTTATTGCCTTGAATTTTTGCAAGTTAAGAATTTCTGGCTTTGAAATAATTGTTTTAGAAAACCTATTAAACATTGTATTTATATATTTCATAAAAAATAACGTTCTTTTTTAAAATGTGTTGCAATTATCGAGCTAAAATTAGGTGCAAATTATTTTAGGTATGATTGCCTACGTTTTGAACTGAGACTTTTTGGTCAAAATCAACATAAATACAATAAATATAACGCAATTAAGGTCTAATTAAGACAAACGCGTTAAACACAAAACTTGCATATATTCTAATAAAATGCAAACCGAATTATATCCATAATTTATCTAATTTTTTAGACTGTAGTTAGTTGCGAAGTTAGAAATCTAAAAGTTGTTGCCGAGTAACTTTGGAGGTCGTTCCTGAGAGATGGCTTGCAGTGTTTATTAATCCTCTGCAGTTAAATAAATCTCCAAAATTCCATTTGTTTTATTTTCAACAGCTCCGCTCTTAACAACGAAAGTTACGTTAAAATTTTAATATACTGTCTGGGTCATGTTGGCATTCTCAGAAAGTACGATGGATAGATAAAGGGTTAAATAGGCAAAGATTTTTTTTGGCGATTTTTAGTGACATTTTCTATAAAGAAATGTAACTGCAACTGTAACTAAAATTTTTTAATTAAGTGTGAATGAGGAAAATCAAAATAAATAAGAACTAAAAGTTCAAATTTTCACGAAATTATATATTTTTACATGACAATCGTTTCGACAAGACCGTGTCTTTAATGTTTGATAAAGACACGGTGTAAAAGCCACCTCAGTTCAATTTATGAATTAGGAAAACTATCAAAAACTTTGTTATTTCTTTATCGTCCATAAAAAATTATGAGTTTTTTCTCTAATGGCTTTTCACTTACGTAATAATTTGTGATAAGAATACAATCTTAAAAATACCTTTGTGTGTGTGATTGCCAAATTTGGAGTACTCTAGTTGTCACCAGGCTTATACATCTTTTATCATTTTAAAGGCACTGGTGTTGCAGTGGGTTATTTTTAATAGGCGACAATTTAAACAACTAACGGATAAATGTGATTGCTGCAATTAATATTTTCGTTCCGTTATTGGTCTATTGTAAGTCTCAACTTTTACAATCGATAAAATAAATCCGAATTGATAATAACTTATTTTTTGGTAATATCATAGTATGCGGCGATATCATCATATCGGACGCCTATGGCATAATTTCTTTTAATATATACTCGGAATATGATAGAAGTGGAATAGATCAAAAAAATGAATCAGGTCAAATTTGTGGTGGTGTGTGCTGTAATTTTTAATTTGGGCCATGTCGGGTAAGCATACAGTTGTTTGTTGCTAACTCAGAATGGATAATTTGTATCTTAAGCAATGCTATTTGTTTTAAACAGTGTAGTGTTAAAATATTTGCGAGAAAATTTCTTTATATTGACGAACATTATATTTATTAGTTTCATTCTTCATTCGTTCATCATTAGTTCATTTAGTTTAATATGCGTAAAATGAAGAGAAGATACTCGTGCGGGTAAAAGTTACATGGTATAGGATGGACCAAATTGAAAATGTTTTACTTTGTCTTAAAACTATGATGCGCTTTATAATAGTTGTAAATCATTATTTCAAACCTTAGTGGTTTTAGCCGCATTCCATAGAGGAAGGATTGTATCTATGATGATTTTCAAGGGTAGGTAGACGGTAGACGGTAGTTGACCTACCTTTGCCTTAGTGTTCAAAATTGGAATTATAGTTACTTGTCGTCCGCTTACTTTAAATAAGGAGACACTGGAGATTGTATATTTGAATAAAACTAAATTAAAAATTAACGATTTATCTATTTTATATTATTCGTATGTACATTTTTATTTACATGATTTCAGAATAATGAATATCTAACTATTTGCCCACCTGTTGATTTATTTATTATTTCGTATTATTATACCAAATACGAAATAAACAACTATCATTATGTGAACTTTCCTATACAACCTTTAAGTTTTCCTCTCTGTTTAATGGTTCATGTTATTTTACAGGAAACAAAATATTATTATCAACAGAAAAATCATATTTTTCATACCTTTACCTGTATATCTTTGAGTCGTTGAAAAAAAAATTAAAATTATCTTTGCAAATCCACCCCACACTTGATATTTCGGGCGTTAAAATTGTAAAATGTTTACAAGTATAGAAAGGAAGGAAGTATCTAAATAATATCAAACAATCTCGGTAAATTTCTTATTCTTGCCCTTTCTGAGAGGACGAGTAAAGCACAGTATGGAAGGGCTAGCAATAAATCTTTATTACCTCGTCATAAGAACATTTTTTTTTCAAATGTGTAAGAAATTTTCCTTGCTTACTTTAGTTAAACTTCGAAATAGCTGCTTTAAATAAGCAGTGACGTGAATTCTGACAGGTAGGGATTTAAGCGTGTAACATTTTAAATATGATATGATAAGTTATATAAAGTGGTGGCCACTTGAGAAAAAAAGCCAAACAAAAATCGTAGACGGCTTTGAAATAAGCTAAGGTTCATTTTATACATTGTTGCCAAGTTGCTGCGTCTTTTTAAGTATTTTTTATACGGAATGGCTAATCACTGGCAAAAAAGTTGCTTTTTTCGCATTTTGTTCACATTGCTGGGGTCTGTTTAAAAGCAAAGTGTTATTAATAATTTCTGAAGTATTTAATTTAGAATTTTTGGTGATAAGTCGATTATTTCAATAACGTAAATTCTGTTTCCCCCTTGAATTTATCAAAACTAGGTATCAATGTGGTTATCTACTTAAAATGAACACGAATAATGAAAAAAATTAAAATGTCAAAATCAAAATAGAATACTTGTTGATCTAATTGATAATATGCAATAAATAACTTGTAAAATCGTAATTGTTTTAATATATCATACTAAGCAAAGACAAATTTTGCTAAGTGAAAATAACTTAAGTTACAATGACTGGCAATCAACATTGTTAATAAATATATTAATTCTTATTTGTTGTCAGTTTTATACAATATTCCATTTTCTAGATTTTTTCCATATTTTTTTTTACTTTTTAATGATAACGATTTTCATGCCACTATCATAAATATGACCGCTTGGGTGTTCTAGAGCATGTAATTTTTTTTAGGAGCTAATGATTTTTCACAAATGCTAAACAAAAAAAAACTAGTGGATTTTAGTTATTAAATCAAAAATTCAAGTCTGTTTGAAATCTTAAGAATATTCCTAAAATTATTATTATACACCTAATTTTATGGTAGAGGTTATCAAAAAAGTAATTCTACTGGTAGAATATTAAAAGCTTCCTCCCGGTAGGTAGTAATTTGCAGAAGATTGTCAGATGAATCTAAAAATGTGTAACCCTGTATTCTTTAAATAAAGTCTTCTAGATTAAAACTTTGTACGAACAACCGTCCGGTATAATTTCACCAAGTTTACGAGGTTTCATTGTGGCTCACTTTTTGTAAATTATCGAAATCGTGCAACCTTCCTAAAATTTATTAGAGGTTTTCATTAGTTGGACCGTAAGTGATATTTTATTAGAATCCTGTGTTGGTTCGTCTAATAATAATAATAATAATAATAATGTTTATTTAGTAAAACGCAATAAGAAAATAGTGACAATAACTAAAATAAACGTGCAAGAATTCACTGAAGTCTCAATAAAATGCATTTAATGTACTTGAAACTAAGATTAAACTTAAATTAACATAAAAATGATTTCTATAAAACACTTATATAGCAGACGACACAATGGGTATAATTCTGAGGGACCTTGGTAAAACAGTCAAGGTTAGATATAGTTAAAACAAGTCCTGAAAAGCATTTCATCGCAAACGTCAAAATCAAATCAGAAATATATATTATCAAAAAGGTAATATATCGAATGAAGATAGAGGTACTATCTATCTGTGTTAATTGAGTTTGATCAAATTACAAAATATTTGTTTACCGCTTGCAAACATCCACTCTTTGAGTAACGCTTAGAAAATTTTAAATTTTTTCTTCTTTCTTTATATTTCATGGTAACATTTCACACAATCTGGGTGTAGCGAAGTGTTTTTTGAATTATGGTTAGACAAGCAGCTTTAATGCCTTTATGGATGTTTAATATATTCAAGCAATATAATTGCCGCATATCGAATAGCCAACTTTTAATATACAATATATATATTATATATAATATACAAACTTATATATCGTGCCCCAATTTTATTAGAAACCTTTTTTATGTGAATATCCCACCTAAGACACCTTCAAAATTCCACCATCCAGATTACCTAACTTGGAACGATTATTTTTATGATTAATGTTTTAGATGTGTAACGAATGAATGAACCACTTAATTAACTCAGTGGTCCCGTATTTTCAGAGGTCAGTCTTCGGTATGGCACTACGAATGCACCCAAAACTATTGTCTCAAAACCTTGATCACCAACGAGACGACGTCACCTCAAAGCTACTCCGTATGCAACTTGTTATGCCTGGACGCTGCTGGACTCTGGCCCAAACCGACCGGACAAGTATCGGTTGCCAACCTAGTTGAAGTTGACGTAGGAAGTTTCTCGATTAGCCAGTCACAATCATCCGCCATCTCGGATCTAGTATCGCAAGCTTTTCAAAATTTCGTGGACGTGGTGAACGAGCAATTGCCAGAAAGATTAGTTTACTTCAGCAAAAAACTCGGCTCCAGCGCGGCCCAGGTTATATTCAACATAACAGATGTTGATTCAAGCCGATTGCTATTAAACACCGACGAAAGCTACTCGCTAAAGATTTCCTCTGGTTCAGATCAGAATTTGCAGATAAACATCGATTCGGGAAGTTTTTTTGGTGCCCGACACGCCCTGGAAACTTTAAGTCAGTTAATCGTGTACGACGACATCAACAATCAAATTTTGATTCCGAGCGATGTGGTCATCACGGATAAACCAAAGTATCCGTGGAGGGGAGTCTCTGTCGACACCGCTAGAAATTACGTCAGCGTGGACATTATCAAAAATATAATTAAAGGTTTGGCTGCTGCCAAGCTGAATACTTTTCATTGGCACATAACCGACTCATCTAGTTTCCCATACGAATCTAAATCGTTACCTGAGTTATCTCAATTCGGTGCTTATAGCCAAAGAAAAGTTTACGACGCTGCATCTATTCAGGACATTATTGACTACGCGACAGTTAGAGGTATCAGAGTGGTACCGGAGTTCGACGCTCCTGCACATGTGGGTGAAGGTTGGCAAAATAAAGGCGTCCTCACGTGTTTCAACATTCATCCGTGGCAAAGCTTCTGCAACGAGCCTCCTTGTGGCCAGTTCGACCCCTCTAAACCAGAACTTTATGACTATTTGGAAGGCAAGTTGACAATATGGATGAACGCAACATCACACTCTCATTCCATTGTCTTACCATGGTTTACAATATTTTTGATGTTTTAATTTCAGAGCTCTACGGTGATTTGTTAGAGCAATTCGACCCCGAAGTTTTCCATATGGGAGGAGATGAGGTCAGCGTCAGTTGCTGGAATGCCACCGAAGACTTAGTGGACTGGATCGTCAACGAGAAGAATTGGACACTGACAAGGGATGACTTTATAGACAACGTCTGGGGTTATTTCCAGGAGGAAGCGCTGCAGAGGCTTTACCAGAAAGCCGGCAGGGAGATACCTGTCATTTTGTGGACCAGCGATTTAACCGCCTCCGATAAAGTAACAACCATTTTACCAGTTGACAAGTATATTATTCAAGTATGGACTGCCGCGGATGATGCCGCCATTCCGGCGTTGTTAGATAACAACTACACGTTAATTTTGAGTAACTTCGACTCTCTTTACTTGGATTGTGGATTTTCATCGTGGGTAGCTACCGGAAACAACTGGTGCTCCCCCTACAAGGGGTGGCAACAGGCCTACAACAACACTCCTGCTAGGATCGTAGGTAATAAATTTAATTAACATTTGCAATTACATTTTAAAAGAAGGCCAAGTGCAGCAAGCAAACAGTTATCAATGGTGAACCAGTGGCGTGGGTTTTGAGTGAGTTGTTTTGCCCAGTCATGTTGCAGTGACATAATGGTTTTATTATCTGCCACTCTTAGTCTACAAAGATTAAATAGATAAGAAATGAATCTGAGGCATTTAAATTTAACTAGAAACATTAAATCAAAAATTTCTAAAAAAAAATGTAAGATAATAATAAAAAAATTAACATATTAAATATACCATAGAAGGTTGCCCCAATTTTTGATACAGTTTTTAGATGAATTTTTACTCTTATTTTTTTAAATAACTAACATTAATAATTATCGTATACTCCGTTAGGCCTCTTCAGAATTTCGCAGAATTAAATAATTTTTTATATGGTTATGGTTTTTCGAGATTGGTAGAATTAATTTCCTTATTCGTTAATTAAATTAAGTCGACTCATCCGCCCTACTTGACATTAAGTATTTTCACCAGGGGACAGAACTAACCAGGTTCTAGGTGGGGAAGCCGCGATATGGACCGAACAGGCTGACTCGGCGTCGGCAGAGGGAAGAATTTTCCCCAGGGCTTCGGCTTTCGGTGAAGCTCTTTGGACCGAACCTTCGACTACGTGGGCAGAAGCCGAAGAAAGGTTTCTACTGCACAGGGAACGTTTAGTGAGTTTGGGAATCCTCGCTGACGCACTTGAACCAGAATGGTGCCGTCAGAATCAACAAAACTGTGCGATAGGGGGAATTTTCAACGCGGCCAATCCGAGTGAGGATTGAGTAAAGAGGTTACATTGGTCTGTAGAGAATTTGTAAAGATTTTTCGTTAATAAAGGTAGTATATTTTGTGAGAAGTCCTTTACTACATTTGCTTTGCTTTACTACCTACATCGAGAGATAATACTTTGCGCTCTGGCTGGGGCAAGATAGATGGTTAGATGTGTTTATGCTTATTGGTGCACAACAACGATCATAAAATTTATGTAAAATTACACTCACAGCGCCTATATTTTAAATTACAAAAATTTAGTATTATTGCATTACGGGAAACATACGTTAGTATTTAAAAATTCGTTTATTGGATAATAGCATATTATCCACCACTTTAGTCATGAGTTTGATTTGGCGCGAGCGGAGCGAGTGCCTTAGAAGTTTACCAACGTTTTATACTGTTTCTGCGACGACCATTAGTTTTTGTGTATATTTTTGCAAAACATTACGATCACATTTAATGTGATGGAAATGTCAAAATACCATAGCTAAAACTACCAAAAGTATCCGTGACTAAATAACCTAAATTCCTCGGGACCATCGATAAAGTTCTAAAGTGCCCCCCCCTTCGCAAGCTTGATCCGTGAATAATTTTGTATTTTAGAGCGGGATGGAGAAAAAATGCATTTATTGTAGCGTTTTCGAGGAATGGGTACTTTGTTGTTTCTTTATCGTTTATCGCTCGCACTGTTTTCCTCTGTATACCAAAAATTTTGCCATTGTTTGAATGTGCTCAATGCTAATAATGCGTAGGAAATTGGGGATTAAATAAAAGGATAGTAAACTGTTTTTAAATAAACATACGAGACACACCTTGACAGACTACTTAAGGTAAATAAACTACTATTTAATTTCTTGGCCAGGTGGTCAATATGAGTTTTCCATGTCAACTTTGGATTGAGATAGCCCCCAGGAATGTAATCTATGAAAAGACTTTTTTTGTTTAATTTTTAATTAGCATTAGGTCACTATTAGTCAATCATTTTTTTGAACGTGATCGTTTTTCAACCGCTGTTATTTTTATAAGAAGTAAGGTAAAGGGCTCAGAATCACCTGGTCAACACAGAGTGATTGTGTTCTATCAGAAGGACTAGATCTTATTAATTTAATACTCTCAAAATCAACATTATGATACTTGGTAATAAGTAAAAGATTCTATCTCACACATATTCTTTACTCAAACCACACGGGAAACATTGTATTTCTCAGTTAATTGTTAGTGTTGATGTAGGGCTAAGCGTTCTGTTTAGAAGAAGGCTCAGTGGGTTTGCTGCAGCAGTTTCCTTTAAGCAGCAGTCGAGACAAAAATGCTGATTCTTGGTGTAAGTGGGATTTTGACAAACACAATAAAACCAAATAAATTCGAATCTTTACAGGCTATAATATTGATTTCATACAAACAAGGGGATTCCTTACACGCTAATATTTTTTGTTTTGCGCAACAAAGGTGTATCCTTCGCGACCACTTTGCCCACTCGAATCGGCAGCTATATCGGAAACCTTTCTAAAGAACCCACATTGTGTTGTAACGTGCTTTTAAGAATCCTCACATTTACAAAGAACACAGCTTCCACATACACATTTCCACTAATAGCACCATTTAGCGGCGGGATGACCGCGTATCGAATAGCTTTTCTTTTTGAGTCACAATTTCCTCTACGTAGTCTTAAAATGCCGCGACATTTTATGAAAATAGATAAGGGGTGTTTTTTTCGATGTATAGAACTTTAAGTTGCAATAAAACAACGATGGATTATTCGATTGACATGAATTTTATTTATCTTGTGGCATTAAATTTTAAATATGATTTCTGGCATATGAGCGCCACAGCTGGCGCGGATGTAGTCCAATCTGGACGTCCAATTCTCGATGACTTTTTCCAACATTTGTGGCCGTATATCGGCAACAATACGGCGAATGTTGTCTTCCAAATGGTCAAGCGTTTGTGGCTTATCCGCATAGACCAATGACTTACATAGCCCCACAGAAAGTAGTCTAGCGGTGTTAAATCACAAGATCTTGGAGGCTAATTCACAGGTCTAAAACGTGAAATTAGGCGGTCACCAAACCTGTCTTTCAATAAATCGATTGTGGCACGAGCTGTGTGACATGTTGCGCCGTCTTGTTGAAACCACATTTCCTGGACATCATGGTTAATCAATTCAGGATTGAAAGAGTTAGTAATCATAGCTCTATACCTATACCCATTGACTGTAACGTTCTGGCCATCATCGTTTTTGAAGAAGTACATACCAATGATTCCACCAGCCCATAAAGCGCACCAAAGAATCAGTTTTTCTGGATGTAACGGTGTTTCGGCATACACTTGAGGATTAGCTTCGCTCCAAATGCCGCAGTTTTGTTTGTTGACGTAGCCATTCAACCAGAAGTGCGCTTCATCGCTAAACAAAATTCGCTTATGAAAATCGGGAACAACGGCAATCTCATTTTGGGCCCATTCGACGAATCTACGCCGTACTTGATGATCGTTGTTTGGCTTCAATTCTTGCACGAGTTGGATTTTGTAAGCACGTAAACCAAGATCCTTCCCCAAAATCTTCCATAAAGTGGATGGACACAGATCCAATTCCTGTGCTCGATGGCGGATGGACTCATTCGGATCTTCCTCAATGCTACGCTCTACAGCAGCAATAGCTTCTTCTGTACGTACCGTACGGCGTCTCTGGGGATGCGAGTTATCAATAAGAGTAAACGTGGTGTAAAAACGTTCCATGGTTAATCGAATTGACTGCTCTGATGGAAGATTTTGTCGACGATAAAATAGACGTAGTGCACGATACGTATTCCGCACAGAAGCATTATTTTCGAAATAAAATTGCACTATTTGCAAGCGTTGTTCAGGCGTGAGTCTATTCATAATGATTTGCCAAATCAAACTGAGAATAGATCACTTGACAGCTGTTAAATCGGTCGCCATCTTGAACAGTAATGCCAACTTAAAGTTCTATACATCGAAAAAAAACACCCATTAGTTTTGATTTGGAGACAATACAGGGGATGATAAAACGCGGTAACGTGTAGAGAAAATTGGTAGTTTGTGGAGACAAAATATTCAATAAATTTTTGTGGTTAATTTTATATAACAATACTTATTTTACGAGGTGTGGAACGGAAACTATGGGGTCGGCAACATTGGCAGTACAAACACGGATTTATGTGAACCTTTTATTGAAACAAGGTTTTTCATGGCAATTGCCATATAAAGATAACCAATATTATCTTAAGTCTCAAACACACAAAAAGTACCATATTTGCTAACGCCCGTGTGATAAACCGATAACATTTTATAATAATAAATGTGAATCTCGGTTTTATGACTGCAAGCCACGGGAATAATGGACAATTGGGCTTCTACAATAATTCATGGGCCTTTAATTTCGTGTGGGCTGTTTTTTAATGCATTTAAGATAGCTCCGATTAATACAAAATATCTGCTTTATACATTACGAACGATAATATGAATCTCATTAGAAGATATTGCTCTTGTGTCATTTTCCTCAAACCACACATCACAATAACAAATAGGGGAATGACAAATAAAGTCACTACTGTGAATAAATACTCTAGTGAAGGTATAATATGCTGAATGGCGTTCATCGCAGGGAGAAATGGGGCATAAAATATCTTGGTCTTAGACCTGATGATGATATGTCCATCTTTTTGCCATCCTCTCGACTCATCAGGCGGTAAAAAAATTTTAGACTACTACGCAGGGTGACTGCTGACCATCTCTAGAGGATAGTCCTATATTCTGTGACGTCACCAACTGCTAATTAAGTAATGTCAATAAGATCAAAGCTTCGGGAGCTGAAAAGGACAATGACGGAATGGATGAAATTGCTGAGACTGAATTTAAAAATATGATGTTTGAGGTGTACAAAGTTATGATTTTACATTTGTGCCAAATATGGTTGTAACATTTATTCATAATACATACAATTCTTTGTTTGTATATAAAAAAACAAAAATCATATACGAAAGATTTCATTGAAAAGTGGTATATAATGTGTTACCAATTTAAGAACTGCCCATTGTTCTTATGGTAATTTGGTTAGTTTTGTCCATATTGTGAAGTAAAATCCAAGGTAGGAACGCTATAATGAGAAAACGCTGTTAGAAAAACGAAGGAACCTTCATGAAAATTAAAGAACAGTATTAGCAATTTAATAGTTCTTGGTGTTACCTTATTTCACATAAACCTCAATTTTGTCGACTCCATTTTTAATCTACTTTAATTTTTTTTATTTTAATTATTATTTACTTACCATAATTTTTTCATGGATCTGCAAAAAAGTACCGTTTTGTATTGATTTTAATACTTTACTATTCCACTTTTAGTAATATATACTACATCCCTAATCGAAAATTATATGAAACAACGCAGAAATGAAGTATAAAAAAACATAAACAATATTGTGTCGCAAGTAATTCGGTTCCTGTAATTAAAGGCCAGCTGCCAAATAATTGAACCTTTTTTGAGTCGCCGTTTTGTATAAATAATAAAATCCTGTCTGGAACTGGAACCGAGAGGCCCTCGTTACGCCATTGTAAAATGTATTCGGGAAATATTTACTTATCCCGTAGGACCCGGTTTCCGGTGCAAGCGGATCCCGGTGAACATTTTAACGATTCTGACCTGTAGACTCCTAATGGAGCTCTTAAAAAATTGCAGCTCCGGGTTTGTGCAGAACGTCGCGAAATGGAAAAGTGCACGAGTAGGAATTCTATGCAAATATCTATAAAAAAATTAAACGGTTTGTCCGCTAGCGAAAAGAAAGAAAATCTATGACTGAGTTTTGTATTCCCGTCGGGCGCTAGAGATCTTTTACACATGGTGATTCGTAACTCCTCCGCCATAACTGTGGGGGCAAATTTCCCAATTTATTTAGATATACTTAATATTAAGTATTTCAAACAACAATAATCATCATTAAGTCTTTATCCATATATATATATATATATATATATATATATATATATATATATATATATATATATATATATATATATATATATATATATATATATATATATATATATA